TTCTAGCCTGGGTGACAGAGCAAGACTCCATCTCAGAAACAAAAACAAAACCAGAAAAAACTCTACCCTCGCTGAGCATGGTGGCTCATGCCTGTAATCCCAGCACTTTGAGAGGCTGAGGCGGGCGGATCGCCTGAGTTCGGGAGTTTGAGACCAGCCTGACCAACATGGAGAAAACCCGTCTCTACTAAAGATACAAAATTAGCCGGGCATGGTGGCGCATGCCTGTAATCCCAGCTACTTGGGAGGCTGAGGCAGGAGAATCACTTGAACCCGGTAGGTGGAGGTTGTAGTGAGCCGAGATCGCACTCCAGCCTGGGCAACGAGAACCAAACTCCATCTGAAAACAAAAACAAAAATAAAAAACTCTGCTTTCTGCGGCCTCACTTCAAGGATGCGTAGGAAATTTGAGGCCAATGGGAAGTTTCTAGAAAAGGGTCTTGTCCCAGAAGGGGGTCCTGCTTCTTGGGCCCTCACTGCATAGCTGGACTGGTGCAGGCCCTGCAGGCTGGGAGGCTGTGCTCATTGCCAAGATTTGGGAAGCCTTGGCTTTTATGTGAAAAACGCTGAGTGTTTAATTGTTGATCCAAATATTTTAAACATGCTATGAGTTTCAGCAGGATACATCTAGTCTGCCAGTTACAACCTCTGAGTCCAAGGACACCAAGAATAGTGCCCTGGAAAGGGCAGGGAAGAAGCATGGTCCTGGCCTGGAGACGGAGGCCGGAGCTGCCACCTCAGGCCAGACAGGCACCACGGGCATGTGCATGGGCAGAGGTGGTTCCCATCTGAGTGGGACCCAGAAGGAAATCAGACCCAGTCCCTGCTCTGAGCCACGAATAGGGGGAGAGACGGGCACTCTCACATGCCCTGGGCCACATGCCAGGGCCGGGAGTCTTTCATCCCTCACCTGCTCTGCCCCTCCCACCACGCTGGCTCGGGGATCAGGGTGGGGGGTACTGTCCATCCCGTTTTTCGTACTTTGCAGGTAACTCAGTTGAGGTAGTGGACAGCTGAGTGATTTGCCTATGAAGTGCTGTCGGCTTTGGCGAACGTCAAGGCCAGGATGGTGTCCCTGGGTCTCGACCCCATCCCTGTTTTCCTCCCACTCCACTTGCCTTGGACCTGTCTCTTCTGCCCTAGGGTAGAGGCTGTGGGTGAGATTTGCAAAAAAAGAAAAGGAGCCGGCATTTGGGGAGGAGACCGGTGTGTTCCAGAGCTCAGCTGGGGACTCCTTGCCCGGGTGTGGGAGGGGCTGGGCTACTGAATGGAGCAAACACATACCCAGGGCCTGGTTGCATTAGGGTTCCAGGTCAACAGCACAGACTGTTTTAGGATTAAAAGCAGTCCCGTGGGACAGCTTGCCCCAAAACATGGTTTGCTTGTTTGTTTGTTTGTTTTTTGTTTGATACGGAGTCTCGCTCTGTCGCCCAGGCTGGAGTGCAGTGGCGCGATCTCAGCTCACTGCAATCTCCGCCTCCAGGGTTCAAGCGGTTCTCCTGCCTCAGCCTCCCGAGTAGCTGGGACTACAGGTGCCTGCCACTGCACCCAGCTAATTTTTGTATTTTTAGTAGAGACGGGGTTTCACCATGTTGGCCCGGCTGGTCTCAAACTCCTGACCTCATGATCCTCCCGCCTCGGCCTCCCAAACTGCTGGGATTAACAGACGTGAGCCACTGCGCCCGGCCAGTTTATTGTTTATCTGAGGCTTACATTTACCTGGAGGGTCCTGGCAGCCCTGGGGAGAGGGAATTTGAGCCAGGGGCAAATGAATCGCCACTCTAGGATTCTGGAAACGTAGAAGACAGGCAAAAACCAGGAGCAGTGACAGCAGAGCGCCGGGCCACACTGCTGCCCACTAAGGGCTCACATGCATGGCCCTGGGAGGCGATTGCGTCCCGCACCCGCCTATTGTTGGATGAAATGAGCAGCTGGGCTCCCAGAGAGGGCACGGTGGTGCTGCCAGGCAGGGAAGGAAGTTCTGGGAGTCCTGCTGGCTGCTGGTTTATCGATTGCCTCGGAATAATAGCCCCATCGAATACCAGCCCGCCGGGAGGCAAGGCGTGGTTTCCTCTTTTTCTTTTCCACATGGGTTAGTCTTGCTTGATGCTTTTCTGTTGTTATTAGATTGTTCTGAAAGCTCATTTAGCATTGGCCCTTTCCAAGGCTAAGGGACAGGTGTGGCCTGGCTCTGTTGGGGGAGGGGTGCTGTATGGGAGGCCGAGGATGGCAGAGAGAGCCCTTGAAGGAAAGGTTTTTGTTGTTTGTGCTTTTGTTTTTTGTGATGGAGTCTTGCTCTGTTGCCAGGCTGGAGTGCAGCGGCGCCATCTCGGCTCACTGCAACCTCCGCCTCCCGGGTTCAAGCGATTCTTCTGCTTCAGCCACCCGAGTAGCTGGAACTATAGATGCATGCCACCATGCCCGGCTAATTTTTGTATTTTTAGTAGAGACGGGGTTTCACCGTATTAGCCAGGATGGTCTGGATCTCTTGACCTCGTGACCCACCTGCCTTGGCTTCCCAAAGTGCTGGGATTACAGGCGTGAGCACCACGCCCGGCCGGAAAGGTATTTCTTTATCGTTAGGGAAATGCAGACCAAAGCCACCTGATACCCACTCGGATGGCTACAAAAATTTTTTTTTTCTTTTCTTTTTTTTTTTTGAGACAGGGTCTTGCTCTGTCTTCAGGCTGGGGTACAGTGGTGTGCCATCTTGGCTTACTGCAGCCTCGACTCAGGCAATCTTCTGGCTAATTTAATTTTTTTTTTTTTTTTTTGGAGAGACAGGGTCTCACTATGTCTCCCAGGCTGGTCTTGAGCTCCTGAGCTCACGCAATCCTCCTACCTCAGCCTCCCAAAGTGCTGGGATTATAGGTGTGAGCCACCATGCTCAGTGTCCTCCCCGCCGCCGAAGGCTATAATTTTTAAAAACGGAAAATAACTGGTGTTGGGGAGGATGTGGAGAAACTAGAATCTTCATGCGTTGCTGGTGGGGCTGGAAAATGGGGCAGCCACTGTGGCAAACAGTTTCGTAGCTCTTCAATAAATAGATTTACCATGTGACCCAGCAATTCCACTCCTAGGTATACACCTGAGAGCAAGAAAACACACATCCACAAAACACTTGGGCATGATTGTTCCTAGCAAGTGCCTGAATGTTGCTTGGCTTTAGCTTTGGTCACTGTGAACAATGCTGCTAACGCAAAACCCAAGTGTCCATCAGCTGCTGAACTGGTGGACAAAATCTTTATATACTGGAGTTGTATTCAACCGTAAGAGGGAATGAAGTGCATTTATGCGCTGTGGCACGGACGAACCTTGAGAACATTACATAAAGTCAGAGCAGCCAGACACAAAAGACCGTGTAGCGTGTGATTCAGTTTATATGAAACGTCCAGAATAGGCGAATCCATAGAGACAGAAATCGGTGAGTGGTTGCCAGGGGCCGACAGAGGGGGGCTGAGGAGGGACTGCTGATGGGGTCGGGGTTTTTACTTGGGGTGATGAAATGTTCTGGACTTGAACCGTGGTGATGGTTGCACAGCTAAAAACCACTTTGAGTTTTATCTCAAAATTGAAACAAAACAAAACAAAGCAGGCTGTGGTCCTAGGCCCCGCAGCGCTCTCTGCAGGCTGCTTCTCTTCTGCCTCCACCCCCGACCCACACATTCCCAGCAAAGTCACCGCAGCCCCCTCCTCACCCCTGCAGCGCGCATTCCTTCCTCCTTTTGAGCTTCCCACAGAGTCAGCAGCGGCCACCTGCTGAGACTTGGCCTAGGGCCTGCTTACCTTCTGGGAGAATTGGCTGCAGTGCCAACAGCTGGTTGAGGGGAAGGCCCCGGAGCTACCTCCTTCACCTCTCCTTCCTGTAAACTTTGGCGTGCCCCCCACCCCACCATCCGCTGCTCCCTGGCCTGCCACTGCCAAGGAGCTCTGAGGACAGGGGCCAGGGCTGGCCGGAGGACTCACTAGGGAGCCACCTCCTGGGAGTCAGCGGCCTTGACGAAATCATTGCTAATCACTCTCCCACTGCAACTGCGGGGAAAGGCAGGTCCACTTGGGAAGTGGAGCAGGCAGCAGTCATCGCTGGGGCTGGGGTGGAGATAGGTGGCTGGGAGCAGGCCCCTAAGGCTCTTTCTGTGCACACACAGGTGCCTGTTCTGGGCCCACAGGCAACTTGCTCACGTACCTAGAGCCCAGCGCCTGACTCCAGGCTGCAATGTTTGTCTTCTTGCATCCTCCTTGCCCCCTCCCCTTCTCTCCGTTCCTTCCTCAGAGTGCTGGGCCAGGCCCGGGGGATGACCAGCTCAGGACTGTGGAAACAGCAGAGAGGCAGGAAGAGCTCCCTTCTCTCCACTGTTGGTGGCTAGATGTTGAGATTCCAGATGTGATTGGTTTGAAAAAAATAAAGTAAAAGGATTCTGAGGCTACAGGTCACTGTTTGAAAGTCTGTGCCTTGGGAAGAGCACTTGGGCAGAGGGAGGAGGCTGAGGGCTTTGCTTTGCTTTGCTTTGCGCCTGTGATGGACGCTTGGTGAGGCCCGCAGCGGGAATGTGGGCCTGTGCTCTGAAGGCCGCGTGCTCCTGCAGCCCTGGGCTCCTCTGGTAGTTCCGCTGGGGCCCTTTTAGAGTCTGTGGGAGGCACTCAGCAGCTCCCAGCTAGGGTCTGAGGTCAGACCCCGTGTGTCTGCCCAGGGACAGTCTTCTCAGCCAGACGTCTCTTTCTGCCTCTTGGTGGGCTCATGGCTGTGTCTGGTTGAAGGGTTGTTTCCAGAAGGACCTTGTTGTCGGTCCAGATGAACGGAACAAGTATGAAAATCCCTGTGGAACTGGCTCTAGGGCAGATAATGGGTGGCTGGGCTGCACGTGGTTGTTGCTCCTGTGTAATTATTCTTCTTCAAAAATAGGGGCTTTGGAGACTGGGAAACAGAGAGAGGCATGTTCACCCCCACCCTGGAGTCTCCCCAGCAAACATCTCGCTCTTGTTCTCTGCCCATGGTTTAGGTTGCACGATGGGAACACAAGACACGCAAGCTGAGCAGGGCCTTCGGGTCCCCCTACCTGGCCTGCTACTCCCTGAGCGTCACCATCCTGCTCTTGAACTTCCTGCGCTCACACTGGTAAGCACAGCCCCCTCACTGGGGAGCCACAACCCCTGGGCTAGCGGGAGGGCTGCTACTGGTGGTGCTTCGTCCCTCACCATGCGGGAGCCTTGTGTCTGAGCACGCAGGGGTCAGCTCTCAGAGCCACCTGCCACAGTGAGCCACCCTACCCTTCCCAGTCGTTTAGACTCTGGCCAGCAGAGGAGCCCCAGTGACCTCAGGAATGGGGGTATGTGAATGGGGGACAGGGGACAATGCCTGGGTGGTCCCAAGGTCACATCCCAGCCTCTGCCATGCAGCCAATGCTGTTTTAGGAGGCTCCTCCAGGAAGCGCCCAGTCAGAAGGTAGATGCCAGGTTGGGAGCCCTCAGGGGTCAGGCCTGACCGTCTCATCAGTTTAGGCTTGAACCAGCATCAGAAAGCTGCTTTGAGGCCAGGTGCGATGGCTCACACCTGTAATCCTAGCACTTTGGGAGGCCAAGGTGGGTGGATCACCTGAGGTCAGGAGTTCAAGACCACGCTGGCCAACATGGTGAAACTTGGTCTCTACTAAAAATACAAAAATTAGCCGGGCATGGTGGTGCACGCCTGTAGTCCCAGCTACTTGGGAGGCTGAGGCAGGAGAATTGCTTGAACCTGAGAGGCGGAGGTTGCAGTGAGCCGAGATTGCACCACTGCACTCCAGCCTGGACGACAGAGCGAGACTCTGTCTCAAATTTTTTTAAAAAAAGAAAGCTTCTTTGCCCATTTCTGGACTTGGGACAGGCCCCTTCCTGCTGTCAAATGAAAAGGTCAGAGAAGAGGAACTGGAACTAGGTGATGAGGCCCAGCCCACTGCACTTGGAAGTGAATTTGTCTGCCCAGACACCAGGCTAGACAAGGCCCACCTGCGTGGACTGTGATGGCCGCAGGTGACCTGGGGATGCAGGCTGTGCAAGGCAAGCTGCCCCATCTCTGGGCCCTGGGCTCACCTCCCACAGTACCCTGAGAATCGTTGCACACGGCAGCTCATGGACTAAACATGGACCAAGTGGTGCTTCAAAAAATGAGAAACTGTCTGCACCAGAGAGAATCCCCATTTTTGACTTGTCGAGACAGACCAGAAGCTCTGTGTGTGCCTGGCCACACCCCACATGGAGCACTCACTGGGGCCGAGGCACAGCTGCCCCTTTGGATGGGGTGCGTGCAGCCTGGCTCTCCCCATGGCCCCATCTTCCTCGGACCAGCCTGGCCTGCAGGCACTGGGTGCGCACAGGAAGGGGCCTGCAGATGCTCCATGCCGGCACGTGCGGAGCCGGGGCAGGCCTGGCTGGTGGTCAGGCCCCTCACACACTCACCGAGGGTGGCCCAGGCCTTCCCCCTCTGTGGCCAGGCGCCCTTGCTGCCTTCCCATCCTTGTTGTGGGCTTGGCCACAGGAATGTGGCTGAGCAGCGTGGTCAGGGTCCTACTGAGGTCAGCCTTCTGCGCTGAACCCCTGGCTCCTGGCCTTTGCTTCTTGGCCCTTTGGGCCGGGGCTGCCGGTCGTCTCTAGGCCTGGGTGGGTATCCCAGGGTCTTGGTCCTCAGAGGGGTGGGTCCCCTGGCACCTGCCCTGGGTTGAATGATGTGAAGAGGCTTTCCCAGAGAGGGCTTTTCACCCCTCGGAGGGCAAGGGGTTTGGTCCAAGGCACTGCCTCGGGGCCTCGGGGTCTGCACAGCCTGCGTGCTCACAAGCGCCTAGGCTATCCGGACCCGGGAACATTTTCACATTCGTAGCCTCTGGGTAGAGAAGAGTCCCGTTGTGCAGATGGAGGAAGTGAGGCTTGTTAAGAAGCAATGGTTTGCCTGAGGTTTTACAGCTCAGGGAGCGCTGACCAGCGTCTGAGAACAGATCAGCAGTGACTTAGGGAGAAAAGATTCCATCCATGTAGGCCAGAGGAACCTGGCAGGCACCGGCACCACCCAGGCTGGGTTATGGGAGTGGGACATCAGGGTACGGGAGATGGGTCTCTTTCCTACCCCTGCTGCCTCTTGGGCCACCGGCAGAGTATCCCTCCTTACCCGGGGTGGGGCCCTGGCTTCATCGGCAGGACAGGCGGGGGTCTGTGCCTTCCAGCCCCCAGACACCCGCACTCCCAGTGGCCAGGAGGGAGTGGGCTAGTGCCGGCCGACTGAACACTTGGAGCTCGGAGCCCCCTACAGGAGCGGCAAGGCTGAGGACGGGTAGAGGGCTGCAGAGGGTTGAGACTCAGCCCAGGGCTGGCAGGCTGAGCTGTTCCACCACCCCTGTTCCCCAGAGCATGCTGGGACCACCATCAGGGCTGGCACAAAGCAGGAGGAGTGGGCTGGAGCCCACAGCGCTCACAGCTCCAGGGGCAGCTAGGCCAGGCCAGGTGACTGCCCGGAAACACCAGCCAGTGCTACAAGGCAGCTGCCTCGATCGAGCCCCTCCTGCCGACCCTGCCCCTGGGAGCTGCTCTGAGTCTGCTGACTTCTGACTTCCTGCCCAATCCCATCTTGTGCTAGAAACCCCAGAGGCGGCCGGGTGCGGTGGCTCAAGCCTGTAATCCCAGCACTTTGGGAGGCCGAGACGGGCGGATCACGAGGTCAGGAGATCAAGACCATCCCGGCTAACACGGTAAAACCCCGTCTCTACTAAAAAAAAAAATACAAAAAACTAGCCGGGTGAGGTGGCGGGTGCCTGTAGTCCCAGCCACTCCAGAGGCTGAGGCAAGAGAATGGCGTAAACCCGGAAGGCGGAGCTTGCAGTGAGCTGAGATCTGGCCACTGCACTCCAGCGCAGGTGACAGAGCAAGACTCCGTCTCAAAAAAAAAAAAGAGAAACCCCAGAGGCTTCCTTGAGCGCTCCCCATCACCTCCCTGCTGGTGCAGCAGCACAGCCTGTGATCTACCTGACCCTGGAGGTCCGCCCCCGTCATCCACCCCTTTTCAAGGCAGAGAGTACAGGGCCCTGGCAGGGGTCAGCCTTCCTCCTCCAGGCCCCAGCCTAGTGCTGCGTGTACCTAGGAGACCAGGGGGACAGGCCCACTCACAGCCCAACTCCAGGCGTATAGACGGCAGCAAAGCACTGTCTGGTTTGTTCTTGGATCCCAGGCCCTGGGAGTCCTCCTGGGGTAGCTGGAGGAAGTCAGCTTCTTACAGATGGTGGCTCCCAGCTTTCCCTCCTCTCCAGACCTCTCATATCAGTGTTGGCCTCACCTGGCGTCTGCCTGGCCAACAGGGCCGTGACTTTCGGTTGGACTAGCCACTCCTGGATTTTGGGGAGGAGAGAAAGGATGTCCCAGGCTGCTGCAGGACTGCTTTTCTCCTCTCACCTTTTGGGTTGAAAGGCAGAGGCGTGCCATGGTCCTTACTCTCTCCCCCACTGTCCTTCCCCTCCAGGCCCCTGCCTACACCCTGTCCTGCCGTGCCCCTGCTGCACGCACTGCTGACCCATCCTTCCTGCCCACACCTGCCAGTGAGGCATGCAGGTGGTAGGTGCTGGGGCTGGACCGGGCTCTGGGGCCAGGCTCTGACAGGACCCTCAGGACCAGCTCCTGCACCCCCACACCCCCACACCCTTTCCCATGCATGCATCGCTTCAGTGGCTGCCTAGAGATGGGTATTCTTTTTTGTGCAGTAGAATAGACATAACATAAAATTAGCCGCTTGAACCATTTTAAGCTTTACAGTTCAGTGACATTTAGCAGCTTCCCGATGTCGTGCAGTCCTCCCTCCTGACTAGTTTTGGAGCTTTTTCTTTACCCTATACACCTGGAGCAGTCACCTCCCGCCCCCCAGCTCCTGGCAGCACTCATCTGCTTTCTGTCCTCATGGGTGTGCCTGTTCTGGGCCTTTGGGGTGTGGCATCCTTTCTCCATGGGAGATGGCAAGCTTCGTGGGTCCAGGCTGTGCTCGAAAGCCTCTGTACCCAGCAGAAGTCGGGTGGTGGGCGGAGAACACAGGCATGTGCTTGAGCCAAGCCTGGATCATGGCCGGTGGGTCCGAGAGGCCACCAGCAGCTGACCTGCCAGCAGGTCCCAGGGGAGAGCAGGCCACTGCGTTAGCAGGTCCGCACCAGCGGTGCATCCAGAGGTGGTCAGGGGAGGCCTGGGGCAGGATGAGCCACTGCGATCTGGAAGCAGATGTGCTCCATGCAGTCCCGAGGGGGCCATTAGCACAGACCTGTTTGCTCTGGTTGTGGACTGTGGATGGGGAGGAAGGCTGATGGACTCCAGGGCACTTGTTGAAGTTCCTTGCCTGAGCTGCCCGCTGCACAGCTGAACTTGGCCAGCCTTGGCTGGAGCGCTACCCTCTGATGAGCCACAGGGCTGGTCTCGAGAAAGCCCATGGGGGCGGGCGAGGAGTGGATGGCCAGGCAGGGCCCGACTGGGCTTCACAGGACTGGGCTGCAGCCCTTCCTCCCTCCTGGCGGTGGGAGGAGACAGCCAAGCTTGTTAGAGCATCAACGAGCTCCTGGTGTCGTTCACCAGTCACAGGATGGAACTGTATTCCAGTGTACATCAGAATTGCCTGGAGTCTCCCAGGGCTCCCTCTGGGTCTTCTGAGGGGAGAAGCTCCTGTGTGCTCTGGTGTGGCGGGCACAGCCGGGCTGAGAAGCTGCATCCTGGCCTCAGAGTGTGGCTGTCAATCAGGAATCTTCCTCGACCTGGAGGTGCTCCCAGGCTGGGCAAGGAGGCAACTGGAGGGGCAGGGTGATCTCTGGAAGGTGGTCTGGGTGGGTGGGGTGCAGGCAGAGCCCTGGCTGAAGAAGTGTGGTGACCAAGGCCTGGAGGAGTGAGCTGGCTCTTCAGATGGCTGGGTGGGGCCCGTGAGTCCCGGGAGAGGGCGGCCCCCACTCAGGCTGGGCAGCAGGGGCAGGGCAGGTGGGGACACACCTCAGCATTCTGTATACTAGAGGCCATGGGGCAGGCGCAACCCTGTGGGACACCAGAGTCACCCTAGAGCCCCTCTCCCCCAGGGAAGTCTATTTTCAAAAACTCCCTGATGATTCTGAGGCCAGGCCCTTGGGGACTATGGCCCTGGAGGAGGCTGGCACACGTGGCCCTCTGTCCCAGTGACCACATGTCCTGGTCACTGCTGCATGCATCCCAGTGCCTGGCTAGACCTGCTCCAGGATGTGGTCAGGACAGGCCAGGGGTCTAGTGGGTGCATGAAGGAGGGAGGGCATGGAGCCGACGGGACAGTTTGCTTCCGATGGAGTGATGGAGGGCTGGGCGTGTGCAGCGTTCCACGGCAGAAAAGAGCGACTCCTGCCATCTTGGCAGAACAGGCCAGAAGTTTTAAAGAGTCTGTGCACTGGGAAGCCAAGTGTATTAGTTTCCTTTTGCTGTGTAGCAAATTCCCACAAACTTAGCGGCTTAAACCACACAAACATACTATGTGACAGTTTCTGTGGCCAGGAGGCTGGATGGGGGGCGGGGTCTTTGCTCGGGGATTCCCCAGGCTGGAATCAAGGTGCCTGCTGGGTGTGAGCTCACCCGAGGCGGGGTCCTCCACGCTTTCGGGTTGCTGGCAGGACTCGGGTCCTTGAGGCCCAGCTCCTGGTGGCCTCCCCGCAGCACAGAAGGCAGCTCTGCGGCTTTGGCTTTGGGTCTCTCTGGCTTCTAGACCCTTTCGGAAAGGCCTACCCAGGGTCACCTCCCTTTTGATTAACTCAAGGCCAACTGATCAGGACCTGAATTCTATTTGTGAAATCCCTTCACCAGAGTGATTCCCTCAGGGCAGGTGCCTGGAGTAGCCATTGGGCGGGATCCATGCAGGCAGCTGGAGAGTAAGGGGTGGGAGGGGCACTTAGGACAGGGAACCTGGGCACAAGGGGCCCCAGCTGCTGGGAAGGAAGGAGGGAAAGGGGCTGCAGTTCAGCAAGAGTGGGGCCCAGGCCCTGGTAGACCAGGCCAGGCCAGCACCTGAGGGGCTGCAGCTGGGAAGGAGGGAAGAGGCACCCTCCCCATCCCCAAAGCACACGCCACCAGGAAGTCTGGAAGGAGAATGGGTGTCAGCCCAGGATTCCCGGGTGCTAGGGGTGCTGGGATACTGCTGCCTGTTGTCCTTGGCCTGCCCGTGAGGCTTGAGCCTGTCCCACTGTTTACAGGTCGTGAGGAGGCAGGAGAGCCGTCCTGCCCCTCCTGCTTTCTACCATCTGTTTCCGTGTTGGTAAAACAAGACAGACTCTCTCTCAGCTATTGATGGGTTTTGGAAACACTTTGGAAAGGTGACGTGTTATTCAAATGCTCAGAATTAGTGCAACGTCAAAGCCCGGAATTCAAGCCCCTTGATGGTTTCGGGGGTTGCATATTAGATGAACATTTTTTTTTGTTTGTTTTAGTAGTTACATGCTTATTTTAATATGTCTTGGAAAAGAAATGAGCCCATCAGAGGACTCATTTCATGGCTAGCGTCGTGTAGCTGAGACGGAGTGGAAAGAGCGAGTCACTCCAAGCCTGGGTGAAGGATGTGGAATACACGGCACTCAGGCCACACGTGGATGTGGATGACGTTGCAGAGACACCCCAGGATGATCAAAGTCAGAGAAGTGTTTCTGCTCGGCTGCAGACAGAAACGGGACAGGCCTGTCCTGGGTGGGGCCGTGTGCCTGTGGCCTGGTGTGTAGCCCAGGACTCCCAGCTGGGGGCAGGGTGGGGATACTGAGGGCAGCGATGCCCCCTCCCCACCTCCACCCCAGGGTTTCCGGGATTTTATGGGAGCAGAGTGCAGACAGCCTCAAATCACATTAGTGACTGAAGGTTCCATCCAGGTCTTAAAAATAGAACCCAAGGCAAATGAATGCATCTCCGTTCCCCACCCCCAGTGCGGAAAACTTCCAAGGGAAATTGCGTCCTATTACCTCATTCTGTTAGGGAGCTTGTGGTCACAGAGCTACTCATCCATCCACTAATTTTCCCTGTGGAATGGACGGACTGTGCTTTCCTGGCTTAATGGAGGAGCTAGAACACTGTCGATTGCCTAATTGGGGCCGTGAGATTCCAGTAAACCTGGAATCTAGAATCAGAGTGTATTTGACTGGGTAAGGGGCCACTTGGTGAGAACGCCAGGGAGGAGCTCAGCCCAGTTCCTCTGCTGACTCTGAGCAAACGACCCACAGAGCACTGTGCCAGGAGCCAGCCCAGGCTGTCATCTCAGAGAAAGGAAAGGAAAGGCCCCAGGACTGGGGCCATAGGCGGGGGAGCAGCTGGAGGACTGGGGGTCAGGTCTGGGGCAGATCTGGGGCCTCTCCCACCCGCTCCCTGGTCCCAGATGTGCCTTCATCAGGAATCTGCTTCCAGACAGATCTGATTTTCCTACTGAGCCACGCCCCCAGGGAAGCTGGGCCCTGAACACGCTGGGCTTTGGGCTGGGCCGCACCAGAGGGAGGAAGTTCGCTTTCATCTGCTGCCTGCTTGTGTGATGCAGATGAATTCTGGCAGAGGAACCCTGAGCATGGGGTGTGGACCCAGGCCCTGGCTCGGGTCTCCGCAGGAAGGGGTAAGAGCGACAGGGTCTCCCTCCAGAGTGACCCTCCCGCGTCCTCAGGCCTGGCCTCCTCGCCCTCCCCCTATTGCAGCACGGGATGGGTCTCCCTGGTTCTGCATTTTCCACAGCAGGCAGAGTGCATTCCAACCCCTGCCGGGCCGAGGCCTGCACCTGGCGGGCTCCTTCAAGCCTTCCCTGCTCCATGCCCTGCCCCAGACTCTAAGGCACAGCTCCCTGCTGTTTCCGCTTTCTGGAATGCTCTCCTCTGTTCACCCCTCCCCACCCCCGTCTGTTTTCTAGTCCCCACTGCAGTGGCAGCCAAGGAGCCAGATGCTTGCAGGGGAGCCATGCTCCTGAGCAGGGCCGGCACCCTTCCTTTCCCTCCCACTCCACCATCTGCAGGCAGGAGAGTGGAGGGTGCCAGGCAGGGGAGAAGGTGTGCCTGGATCGTGGCACCACACTGGGTGTGCGTGTGGCCACCTTACTCCATGGCAGCCCGTGACCCTGAGCCAATCCCAGAGGCTCGGCCTGGAGCTGCAGAGTGACCCTGAGCCCCGGGCAGCAGCAGGATCAGGGCAGGGCACTGGTGGGTGGAGAGCTGAGGGTGTGGGCAGCATGACCGGCAGTGGGTTTGCCCTGACACCCGAATGCCGCTGTTTGACAGGTCGGTGTGCCCACCTCTGCCACCGGGTCCTGGTGGCTTTGTCCACAGGCCCTTTTCCCTTTTGCCCTGGCTCCTTCTCTGCTCTGGGGGATGGGAGGAGGAGGAAGGATGAATAGGCACTAAATGTCCGTTCTGTGGCCCGGGCCAAGTGCGGGGGGAACATGCAGGGAAGGAGGAGCAGCTTCTGTTCCCCAGGAGCTCCCAGTCCAGCTGGAGGAAGGAGTTCCAGGGAGGCATAAAGATATGCCTGTATGTCCTCAGCTCAGCATAAGGAGGGTCACAGCAATCTGAATTCACCAATGAATGGAATGGGTGGATGAAGATGGGGGCTTCAATCTGCTTGAAAGAACCTGGCAAAGACACCTCATGGTGGATGGATGGATGGTTGTGTGGGCAGACAGAGGCTACATTGATGGATGGAGGGATGGATAGATGGACAGATGGATGGATGTGTGGGTGCACAGAGGATAGATTGATGGAGGAAGGATGGGTGGGTGGGTGGGTGGATGGTGAGCTGGCCCTGCTGGGAGATGCCATCCAGACTGAGTGTAAAAGGCGCTGCCCTGCGTGAGGCAGCAGATCTCCATGTCTCTTCTGTGTTGTGATTATTGCGAGCATGGGAAGTGCATGTTTGGTCACACATATCTGTGCTCCCACACACAGCCTTTCCTGTGAGTGTGCCTCTCATCTAGCACCCAGGGCCCCCTTCCCACCAGCGCCCGCTCCCCTGTGGTGAGGCCCGGGTGCATCAGCACATACCTAGCCCCTGTGTCCTCCCTGCACCAGGCCCTCAGTCCTCTGGAGCCAACTGGAGAACCTGAGCCTCTAGACCCACTGCTATCATAGTCACCCCCTTTTGGTCATGCCACTTCCTTTTTTTTTCTCTCTCTTTTCTTTTGAGACTGAATCTCGCTCTATTGGCCAGGCTGGAGTGCAGTGGTATGCAAACTCTGCCTCCCAGATTCAAGCGATTCTTGTGCCCCAGCCTCCCGAGTAGCTGGGATTCCAGGTGCCTACCACCACGCCCAGCTAATTTCTGTATTTTTGGTAGAGACAGGGTTTCACCATATTGGCCAGGCTAGTCTTGAACTCCTGACCTCAGGTGATCCACAGGTCTCGGCCTCCCAAAGTGCTGGAATTACAGGCATGAGCCACCGCACCCAGCCCCCACTACCTTTTAACAAGGCCTTCAGTGGTTTGGCCCCAGAGGGAGCCTGGTGGGGGAATTCAGGTGTGGAGGAGGACATAAAGGGCCCCCAAAGTGCCTTTAAATGCAAGTCAAGCCACCCAGGATGTGGCCAGACCTGCAGGGACTGTGGAAGTGGAGTCCCCAGCACAGAGCATGCCCCAGGCCTCAGGGCACTGAGTCTGTTGGGGAATGGGACACCTGGGCCTGCCCTGCAACCTGGCACCTGCGTCTTTTCTGAGCCTCACTTTTCTCCATAGTATGAGTTGCTCATTGGACAGGATGAGAGTTTGCAAGCTGGTGGCCTTTGGGCTGAATCCAGCCTGCTCACCTGCAGGGTCTAAAGTGGTTTTCATGAATTGTCTATTTCTGGAAATTAGGACACTTCACATATGAGTCAGGACCTCTGGCAGGCCTGGGCCCCTCCCTGTTGCTGTCACCCCCTCTCCCGGGTGGACCGGACCCCACCTGCTGCCTGCCTGACCTGGCGGCCCTGGGCCGGCTGCTCTCTGAGGTTCCCTGGGGAGAGGGCGAGAAGGTGAGGATGGCCTCCTTCTGGGCCATGACATCCTCCCTCTCCATCCCCTGCCCGCAGCTTCACGCAGGCCATGCTGAGCCAGCCCAAGATGGAGAGCCTGGACACCCCCGCGGCCTACAGCCTGGGCCTTGCGCTCCTGGGACTGGGCGTCGTGCTCGTGCTCTCCAGCTTCTTTGCACTGGGGTTCACTGGAACCTTCCTAGGTAAGACCCTGAGGGCTGGGGTGACCCTGAGCAGGCCCACTGGAGCCCTAGGGAACAGCAAGGCCAGGTGGCTGCGGTCCTGCCGTCTATGACATCAGTGGGAGTGCTGGGGCCCTGCTCCATCAGGGCGTCTTCCCTCCAGGCCTGGCTTGTCCATGGTAGAACAGGAGGCTGGGCTCCAACAGCAACTCTTACCCCAGGGTGCTGAGCAGCTGCCTTCGTGGGGAGTGAAGACAGCTCCCGGCTGCTTCTCTCCAGCTAACGAAGATGCGCTCAACACCCGTTCTGGGACTCCCTGAGTCCAGCGCCACACCAGCTCCCTCTTGCAGAAGGCTCTCAGGCCCTATTGCACAGAAGCCCGAGGTGGTGGTGAGTCAGCCACCTCCCCGGCAGCTCCCGGCACGCGTGGCTCTCAGGCCAGGCAGGCTTGTGGTTGGTGCTGTGTTTGGCCGCAGGCAGGGCTGGCGTCGGTCTGGGGAGAGATGAGGGGTGGAGGCACCTTATCCCTTCTCCATTCCCCTCTGCCTGTGGCTGAGGTGCTTTCAGGCTGTGAGCCCAGTGCTGGCCTGGCCAGACGCCCACCAATGACCCTCATGATGGCAGCAACTTCCAGCTCCTTGCAAGCTGGGAAAGAAAAGCAGCCATGGGAAAGGCAGTAGGGGTGGGGGTGGGAGAGGAGATGGGGGCAGCGGTGGGGGACAAGAGGGGGCCTTCGAAACCTGGAAGGAGAGAAGAAGGCAGCCCCTGTCCAAGGGGAGCCCCTCCCAGTGAGCAGGGAGTTGGCCCAGCGGGGTGTTGCCCACTCTCCGTCATGGGTGGGAAGACCCACGTCTTCCTCCCCGCCAGCCGTGGCCAGTGCAGGAGCTTGGCAGGTCACTCGGCTTCAGTGGCCTCAGTGGCCTCCTGGGACCAACAGTGTCCTGAGGAGCTCCCGGGCCCGCCTGCCACCCCCATCCTTAGATGCTGGCTGCAGCTTCTTGGGCCCAGCCCCCAGGGCACCGTGGGCTGTCACAGGGCACTCCAAGTTCTCAAGGAGCCTGTGCTCGGCCGCAGGGGACATCCGAGGGAGGAAGTGGCATCTGTGGGTGCAGCATTCTGGATCGCCCATGACCAGGCCTCTCTGGGACTGTCGGGGGCACCCACAGGTGGTTCAGTGCTTCCTGCGCAGGCAGGAGCTGTAGGGAGTTTGGTCTAGGAAGGGGGGCAGCAGCCAGGAGCGTCTGTATCTGCCTGGTGGGGGCAGGTGTGGGCAGGTAGAAAGAGGAAAAGGCCTTGGTGCAAGGAGAGGGAGATTGAGGGCAGAGTGGTGGGCGGCTGGAGGCGGGGGAGCAGCTGGACTGGCCGCACAGGTGCTGTCGGTCGGGACAGGGCTGGAGGGTGAGCCGAGGCCTTGAAGGCCATGCAAGGGGTTGAGGCTCCATCCCCAGAGAGGTGGGAGCCACAGAGGGGGTCCCCGCAAGGAAGAGGTTGGACTGATGGAGCCAGGATCAGCGGTGGGGCTCAGGAGCTGTGGAGGGCCCTTCCAGGATGTGGGGGTGGTGAGAGCCACACGGGAGGGGCTCTGGGCTGTGCAGTCAGGTCCTGTGGGAGACCAGCGGCAGGGGCCCTCCAGCGGTTAGGGTGTGGGTGGATCTGGACAGGGAGGGCTGCAGGCAGCGTAGGGAGAGCCAGGATGGTGGGTGGAGCCCCTCGGCAGTGGAAGAACAAGCTGGGGGGCCCTGAACAGTCAGAGGGAGGGAAGGAGCCCACAAACACCAGTGGCCACAGACTCCTGGCGGCGCTGCCAGCAGACATGGCCTAGAAACGCCGAGGGCCAGCAGCGCGGGATGTAGACAAAGGTGGTCACTTCCCCCTGTGACTCAGCCCGAATTGGGTTTCTGTGCCATCTACCCACACCCTGCTGCCCCGCTTCCTGCTTCCTGGGAAGAAAGAACTTCCCAGTGGTCCTGGGCCCTGCCCCGTGTCCCCAGGCGGTGACGCAGCTCCTGGACCCCTCCTGCCTATGCTGCCCATTGTCAGGCAGCTGCCCTACTTTCCACCTCGGATGAAGCTCCATTGTCCTCCTGGAGGAGACACAAATTAGGAGTTTCTGGGGACAGAAGGCTGGGAGGAACAAAGCCGCACCCTTTATGGAGCGGTTACTCCGTGTCCAGTGGGACCATCCTCTGTAGGCCTGGGACAGATCCTGTGACTATGACACCGGCCGCTGCTTATGGCTCAGAGCAGTCCTGCCGGGGGATGCCTTGTGGCCATGCGACTGACGGGTGCATGGCTGGCCTGTCTGGAACAGGCTGTCCAGTAGTCACCCTCTCTCCACTGGGTCTAGCTCCTCTGGGCAGCTGGGTGGGAAAACAATAATACCAGGGCTGACCTCCCAGAGCGACAGGAGGCGTGCCGTGGCCGGGCCCTGGTGCCAGGGCCATGCAGCCGGGGGCGTGGAGCAGAGCAGCCCTTAGCAACCAGCTGAGGCCCCCAGAGGGAGAGGAACTCACTAGAGTGAGGCAGAGCGGGAGGTAGGTCAGGAAGAGGAAGGGTCTGCATAAAGAGGCGCCATGAGCAGAGGGAGAAGGGCCTGAGGAGGAACTGAGCTCTCTGTACGGAGAGCAGGGAAAGGCATCGCAGGGGAGGGAACAGCGTGTGCGAGCCTGGAAGAAGAGGAAGGCCAGCGTGGCTGGGTCAGAGTGCACAAGAAAAGGAGCAGTGGGGCAGGGGCGGTGCTCAGCACCTCAGTCCTCGGGCCCCACGCCCTCTGCTGTCTGCGTGCCTGGTGGGTCCCTCTGACTCTGTCCATTGTTGAACCCCCTGGAGCCTCCTGGAGTGCAGGGCCCTGTCTCACCTGCAGGTCCCGCCACAGCCCGCTCTGGGGCCTTCCTCCGTGATGGTGTGGCCAGGGCTGATGAACAGCCGAGGGACCCTGCCTTGCCTCATCCACAGGTGATTACTTCGGGATCCTCAAGGAGGCGAGAGTGACCGTGTTCCCCTTCAACATCCTGGACAACCCCATGTACTGGGGAAGCACAGCCAACTACCTGGGCTGGGCCATCATGTGAGTACCAGGCTTGCTGCCCCTCTGCCCCGCTGGCCACCTCCCGGGGAGGAGCTGGTGCAGCTCAGGACGCGGGGGCCAGGGCCCCTGGAGAAAGAGGAAGAACGTGTCATTTGCGGGGGCCTAGGGCGCCCTGGTTCTCCCTTTCTCAGAAGCATCTTATCTATAGTAACAGAAAGCACATCCCAGAACAGGGTGGCCAGCTTCTCCAAGAGGGCTGGAGTGTGGAGGTTCAAAGGCCGCAGGCAGGTCACAGCCGCTCAGCCCTGGTCCTGCCGCGCAAAACAGCTGCGGACGCAGGAAAACGGATGCGCGTGTTCGGCGCCAGCACAGCTCCACTTACAGACATTGAAGCCTAAATTTCAGATTATTTTCACGTGTCATGAAACATTCTTTTGATCCTTTTGCTTTTAACTATTTAAAAATTTAACAGGTGTTCTTGGCCCGTAGGCTGTAGTTTGCAGACCCCTGTGCTGGGACATCAGGGCTGGGACCACCCGAGCCATCTTCCCTGCAGGAGGGGGCAGCCAGAGCCACCAGGGCCCACCTCACCCGCAGCTGACAGAACTGCCTGTGCCCCCATAGCCTCTGCCCATGTGGCAGGCACCCCTTCCCACAGAGGGGACCCCGTGCCATGAGGGAAGCCTGGAAGTGCTGTCGGCCTCAGCCAGGTACAGGCATTGACAAGGTGTGGGGACGTGCTCCCGCAGGGGGGTCAGAGGGCCTGCAGTCAAGGATGGCACAGCGGGAGCTGCCCTGGGCTTCACACCCATCCCCCACCCTGGCAGTTCTAGTTTAGCCATTTTCTTGCATAGAAGGTTTTTTTTGGCAGACACTGTTCCACTGCTTTTGTTTAATGCTTGAAAACCACTGGCCTAGAATTTACAGGTTCTCCCCAGGACCTGAGGGGCCAAAGGATCCCAAAGGAGTGAATTGTAAATGGTGAATGTCAAGAGCAAGGTGTTGCCTCCTGGCTCCCCGCCCTCAGCGGCTGGGACGGTAGCAGCTGGGGTTGGAGAGAGCAGAAGCTAGAAGAGGGGCTGTGGGTCTGGCTGGGACCCACCCCGCGTCCAGGCCAGGCAGTTCCCAGGGTCACCTCCCACCTGCCTTCTAGCCTGGGCCCTCTGCCCGGACTCAGACAGTGTGATCCTGAGGCCCAGACTATGTGCCCCCAGGCTCACCCGCCCATGGAGCACCCCCACTGGGTCCACAGGGTGAGCCCAGACTCAAACAATCGCCTCTACCCAGGTCGTCCCTGCAGGCTTAGGGTTCCCAACACACCTGGCCCCCTGTCTCCTCCGTGTGCACACACACATGCACGTATGCACACACATGCACGTATGCACACACACATGCACGTATGCACACACATGCACGTATGCACACACACATGCACGTATGCACACACATGCACATATGCACACACATACACACATGCACGTATGCACACACACATGCACGTATGCACACGCATGCACGTATGCACACGCATGCGCGTATGCACACACATGCACGTATGCACACACACATGCATGTATGCACACACATGCACGTATGCACACACATGCATGTATGCACACACATGCACGCATGCACACACATGCACGTATGCACACACACATGCACGTATGCGCACACATGCACGTATGCACACACACATGCACGTATGCACTTACACGCTGTTCCCTCGCCTAGAACCCTCCCACTTATGCCCCTTGTCGGTCCTTCCAAACCCAACGTGAGGTGTCCCCTCCTGCAAGAATCCCTCCCTGACACCCCCACCTTCGGTGCCTCCCCAGTGGCTTAGTGTCCCCAGCAGTGCCTTGTGCCCTGGAGTGAGAGTCACCCTTGGGCTCGGGACACACAAGCCGCCTCCAGAGGACATCAGCCACGCGGTGTGCTGGGAGATGGCATCAATGGTCCAGGAGCTCATTAGAGATGAGCCATTACCTGGCCAGACGCTGACACAGCAGGGACCCCTGCAGGCCTCCCACAGCCCATCTGTCTCTCACCTGCCAGGGCCCCAGAGATGGGCCTTCCAGGTGTCTGAGCTCCCTGGCATGTAGGACCCCGGCAGGCCATGTGGCAGTGAGCCCGATGCCAGAGCACAGATGGCAGAGGTGGTGGCCTGACTGTGAGGGACAGGTGGGCCTCCTGCTTCATGTTGTGCAAGCGGGGGCTCCTGTCCCCCTCAGGTGCCCACAATGGGGTCGCTGCTGGATGCCAGCCCTGGGGCTGGAGCCTGGGCTTGGATCTTTGCTGTCCTTAAACTGCCCTGCCCCCTGCAGCTCCCAGACAGGCAGACCAGTGTGAGGTCCAGGGGTGGAAGGCAGTGGGCAGGGCAGAGGGTCCCCGCAGGGGCCACAGGTGCCCTCCAGCCCTCACCTTGATCCAGCCCTACCTGGGGTTCTTGTGATGGTTTGTCTGGGGAGGGGGCAACTTGGCACAGAGGCAGCCAAGGAGGGTGCAGCCCCTGGCCCAGGCCTGCCCATGCGCCCTCTGTGCCTGCCAGGCAACTCCTTTCCTCCCTCTTTCCCTCCCTCTCTCTCTCCCTCCCTCCCTCCTCCCCGGCAGCAGCCCAGCGCCTGCGGGAGCTGTGGGATCAGAGGTAACTATAGAAATAGATTGGGGGACAGCTTGACGGCAGCTATTTCTGGAAACCTGAGGCAGCTGCGCCCAGGCTCCTCGGTGCCGTCACTGACGAGCTGCCGCTGCTCACTGGTGTGGCGGGGTCAGGAGCTGGTCACCAGCAGAGAGCTCCTGGCGATGCTCCATCCAGCCTTGGGCCTGCTGCACACTCTGCCTTGGGCCTCCCATCCTCTGGGCCGGGGCAAGCAGGGGGTTCCTGGGCGTGGGGCTGCTGTCCCACCACCTGGGAGAGCCCAAGCTGGGCTCGATGTTGAGGGCTGGGTGGGGCAGCAGCTCCTAAGCCCCCTTCCCCACAGCCAGATCCTCCCAGGGCGTGGCTATGGGGCTGCACCTGTGGCTGGGGGCTGGGGGCTCAGGGTGGACCAAACTGGCTTTGGGGAACCCTGGACCCATTTCTAGAAAACAGCCTTTGTTCCTCAGAGCATGGTTTCTGGGGGACAGTGGAGCACTTTGCCCCAGAACCTCCTCCTATGCGGGACGAACAGCCCTAGCCACTGGGACTCTTCTGCCTGGGGCTGCGTCTCCAGCTCTGGGCTGGGGGCTGGAGACCCGGAAAGAGTGAGCAGGCCCCACCCGGAGGGAACCCAGCCAGGACGGACAGGCAGACGATGATGATAAATGGATCAGGACCGAGAACATGGGGACCCCACTCAGGAAGGGGCAGTGCTGCCTGGGCTTGGTCGGCCCAAGTGGCCCCAGCGTCGGCCGGAAGACGCGGGTCACAGCAGGAAGGGCCAGCCTGGGCAGGAGGGCAGTGGCCCTGAGAGACCCTGGCTCCAGCCAGGCCTAACCTGCCTCTCTCCCTGCAGGCACGCCAGCCCCACGGGCCTGCTCCTGACAGTGCTGGTGGCCCTCACCTACATGGTGGCCCTCCTGTATGAAGAGTGAGTAGCGGCTGCTGCGGGTGGGGGCGTGGCTGCCCGACTGGCCCTGTCTCTCCTTCTAGAACCTTTCTTTGTGGCCAGGGCAGGCTCAGGACAGGCTGCCATCAGCCAGGCCCACTCCAGGGCTCCCAGGTCAGAGCGGCCACAGCAGCTTACAGTGCGGCCTGCAGGACCCAGCAGGCAGCCGGCCCCTCTCCCCTCCCCCCTGCTCTCTGAAGGCTCCAAGTCAGTGCCACCCCAGCGGCGCTGGCGGATGAAGGGGATCCTGGTCCCACTGGGACACCCTCAGGCTGGTGGAGGCGGGGCTCTGGTGTGGGCAGTGGGTCACCCCCAGGACCTGCTGACTGAAGCCTCTCCCCGCTGCCCGGCAGGCCCTTCACCGCTGAGATCTACCGGCAGAAAGCCTCCGGGCCCCACAAGAGGAGCTGATTGAGCTGCAACAGCTTTGCTGAAGGCCTGGCCGGCCTCCTGGCCTGCCCCAAGTGCCAGGCCCTGCGCAGGGTGAGAATGGTGCCTGCTGCTCAGGGCTCGCCCCCGGCGTGGGCTGCTCCAGTGCCTTGGAACCTGCTGCCTTGGGGACCCTGGACATGCCGACATGTGGCCATTGAGCTCCAACTCACACATTCCCATTCACCAATAAAGGCACCCTGACCCCAGCATCTACTCCAGCCTCTGTCTGTCTGCGTGGAGAAGGAGCAGGCCTCGGGCATGAGCATCAGGTCCAATAGCTCCCGGGCCAGGCTGGCCCCAGCCTTTCTCTCTCTGAAATCTCAGAGCTGGGAGGCGGGCACCTCTCTCCAGGCCTCCAAAGGAGGCACTTAAGAGGCATCAGGGGCTCACCTGGCCATGGCCATGGTTTCACCCCCAGGAGACTTGGTGTCTTGTGTCACCTGCTCCCACACTCCCCCCCAGCACACCCAAGACAGCCCGTCTGCTGCCTCTTCCCTTGGAGGATCCAGCCCCGTGTCCGTCGGCGTGAGGGTGGAGAGGTGTGGTCACGTTGTCCTTGGCCACCCCAGTCTAGCTGGGCAGATGACGCTGTCATTCCTAAATGAATGGCCCTGCGCTGACCAGCATCTGGACACACGCTGGGCGCCCTCTGTGTCTGTATGGGGCGGAGGTGGGCCCTGCAAGGGTAAGCCTCATCTGGGGGAAGCAGGACACAGTGACCAGGAGTGTAGGCTCAGGCATTGCCACTGGGGCTCCCGAGGTGGGCAGAGAGGACACCCTTCCCCCCTCGTCCTGGCACCCATGCCGCCACTTCCTGTTTCCATCCCAGTTCTGCTGCTGGTGGCAGGGTCACCCCTCAGTCCCCAGGACACCAGGCCCCCTGACTGGGGCAGGTCGGGGACTTCTAAGCTTGGTGGGCTTTGGGGTGATTCTCCTGGGGGTGCCAGAGGCCCTCAGTCCTTCAGCTTTGGTCAACATTATCCCTCAGGGTCTGTGAGCCCCGAAGGCCAGTCAGGGGCTCCCGGAGGCCGTGTGGGGATCAGGGTTCTGCAGGGAGAGGCCTCCACCTGTTCCAGCCCCTCTCCCCTTCCACCTGTGACCTCAGGCTGATCACTGCCCTCCTCCAGCTCCAGGGGTCCTCAGTCAAGCTCAGGGACAATGACCGAGGGCCAGCTTTCCCTTGACATTACTTTCACTCAGGGCTGCAAGGCCATGGCCTGAATGGACATTTACAAAGCGCCCTCAGTCCAGGATCTTCCTGCTCACACCGCCAAGATGGGCTCCCGGGCTGCATTCCTGAGCCCTCTAGGCAAGGCTGGCCTTCTCCTGGGAGGGCTGGAGGTGGGTGCAAGAAGACTCACCCCCCAGCACAGGAGTCCCCAGGCCAGAGCTGTCAGAAGCCACAGAGCTTGTGAGGAGTGAACCTGACCCTTTTATCACACAGCCTCTTGGCCCCCAGGGCACCACGGTGGAGGCAGGGCTGCCAGCCCTGAACTCCTCTTGCCCCAGCCCCAGCCCCCTCGCCCCTGGCCCTAGGCAGATTCCCCAACTTCCCACTCTGCATATGGAGGTACAGAGGATGATGGTGCCAGGGCTGCTGGGCAAGGCTGACCCTCACCTGTGTCTTCACAATCCCAGGTGTCCAGTTGACCAGGCCCCGCAGCCCAGGCAGGCGGCCCTCAGGGTCTGGGCCACAGAGCCCCTCCATCCCTCAACTGTGCCGGTTCCTTCTCTCTCTGGGCCTCCTTCCCCGTCTCCCCAGCCAGGATGCTCAGCCTGGGATCCGGGCCACGGACGGGAGGTGCCAGAAAGGCTCTGCTGAGCATTGTTCATGTTCCTGGGCAGTTCCCTGCTCCCCACCTCCACTCCCCGTCAGTCCCAGCCCCCGCTGGGGGCTTTATTTTTAGGTACCACTTACTCAGCACCCAGCTGTGTGTGCAGCCGGAGGAAGCCTGGTTCCCTGGCAACCGGCCTGGCTCAGCCCGGTGGGCCCCTCCCCTCAGGGATCCCACCTCCTGCCCACTCCCCACTCACCCCTGAGCTTCACCCTCACACCACCACCCCCCTGCCAAATGTAAATGTGGTCAGGACACCCCCTCAACCCCCGTTGCCCTCGGAAGTAAGTCTTGGCCCATTACCCCTGGGGCCCAGGACTTATTCTCTCCCTGTCCCACCGGGCCTGTCCCACCGTGGCCTCCTTCCCTCCGTCTGGGCTCCTGCGATGACTTCAGGTCTCAGATCACCTCCGCTTATCCCTGTGTCTACCCTCGCCATTCCCTCCACCTGGACACCCCTCCCCTTACACTCATCCATCCGTCCGTCCGTCCGTCCGTCCGTCCATCCAACAATATTGAGTTAGTCCTTCTATGACGCGGGCAGAGGACTCACTCGGCTATGAGCATGGTTTTCATGCCCTGCCCTCAGGGGCACGCCACGCCTTGGGACAAGCCACTGCAGGATGGGGACAGGGCGGGATGTTTTCATCTCATCGCTGCCGTAATCAATCTGCGTCCTCAGGTTCCGCGGAATCATTCTCGCTGGTGAGGTGAGTTTTGAAGTCAGATCTGGGCATGGGCAGGTGTCAGGAGGTGAGGCAGCGGGGTGGGCGAGGAGCCTTCCCACCCGAGGGAACAGCATATGCCGCGGCTGCGGTGGGCCGACCCAGGAGAGGGTCCAGGGCCCCCAAGTCTCCCTTGCAACAGGCAGGCCTGGTGAGGGGCTCAGTTTCCAAGGAACAAACGGAGTATTGCAGAAAAGTGACAGGTTCCCCCTGGCTGCAGGGTGGAAACAGGGTCTGCTACTGTGAGGAGGCCCCCAGGGTGGGAGGCGCGTACACTTGTTCTGGGCAGTGGTGATGGTGCTGGGCCCTGGACAGAGGTGTGAGGTGGGAAGAGGGGACGTGAGAGATGTGTAAGGGGGAGAATGTCCAGGATTTGGGGATGAATGAGGGAACAAAGGGGTGTAGCCCCCATGGTGGGCGGGTCCAGGCGAGCTGGGAGAGATCCTGAGTCCTTCTGCAACAGGCAGGTGGCTGCCGGGTGCCCGGAGAGGGTTGGGCTGGAACCAGTACCTGTTCATCAGGGGGCGAGATCCACAATTCTCAACCCGGCGTGCACAGTTCTGCCACCTGGCCAGCTTCATGGTTTCATTTCTATTATAATTTTAACATCTTTACTGAGATATAATTCACAAGCCATACATACAAGTCTGAGTTTTTGTTTATCCACAGACTTGTGCAGGCATCACCACAATCATTAAAACATTTTTGTCACTCCCCAGAGAGACCCCAGTACCCCTGAGCTGTCACCCCCAACTCCTCTCCAGCACTAATCACCACCAAGTCGCTCTCTGTCCCTATGGATTTGCCTCTCCCGGACACTTCCTATGAAGGAATCACGGTATTCGTCCATTGGTGTGCGGCTTCTCTCACTTGGCACTGTGTTTTTGAGGTTCAGCTGCGTAGTGCCATGTCTCAGCACTGTTCATTTTAACGGCTGAACAACGTTCCACTGTGTGGATGGACACACTGTGTTTATCTATCAGGCAACGGACACTTGGGTTGCCCCCACCTTCGGGCTGTTGTGAAGAATGTGGCTGTAAACACTTGTGGACAGTTTTTGTGTAGACACGCTTTCATTGCTTTTGGGCAAATGAAATTTGCCCAAATTTCATTGCTCTGGGCAAATTCCTCGGTGTGGAATTGTTAGGTCACATGGTAACTCGCATGTTGGACACATTGAGGAACTTCTACCCTGTTTTTCACAGCACCTGTATCTTCTTACATGCCCACCTTGATAACTTTTTATTTTTTTTATTTATTTGTATTTGAGATGGCATTTCGCTCTTGTTGCCCAGGCTGGAGTGCAGGGGCGTAATCTCAGCTCACTGCAACCTCCACCTCCCAGGTTCACGCGACTCTCTTGCCTCAGGCTCTTGAGTAGCTGGGATTAACAGGTGTATGCCACCACGCCCGGCTAATTTTTTGTATTTTTGGTAGAGATGGGATTTCACCATGCTGGTCAGGAACAGCTCTCGAACTCCTGACCTCAGGTGATCTGACCGCCTCGGCCTCCCAAAGTGATGGGATTACAGGCGTGAGCCACCGCAGGGGCTCAGCCAGGCAGGGGCTTAGCGAGGTGGGGGCACGAGGGAGCCTTTCAGAACTGGAGGTGCCCTGTGCTTGGATGCGGTGCTGTCACAGGTGTGCACATAGGGGAACCTTCAAGCTGTAACCTTTCCATCTGCACACGCTACTATAGCCAAGTCATATCAAGTTGGACCATATAAAGTTGCCAATACTGCATGTGACCATTTCTAACTTAGAAAAGCAGTATTATTCGGCTGGGCGCGGGGGCTCACGCATGTAATCCTGGCACTTTGGGAGACCGAGGCAGGCAGATCACGAGGTCAAGAGATGGAGACCATCCTGGTCAGCATGGGGAAACCCCATCTCTACTGAAAATACAAAAAACTAGCTGGGCGTGGTGGTGGGTGCCTGTAGTCCCAGCTACTCGGGAGGCTGAGGAAGGAGAATCACTTGAACCCGGGAGGCGGAGGTTGCAGTGAGCCGAGGTCACGCTACTGCACTCCAGCCTGGTGACAGAGTGAGATTCCATCCCAAAAAAAAAAGAAAAAGAAAAAAGAAAAAAAAAAAAGGAATATTATTCTATGATTCAGACTAGTATCCTAAAAACTTAAGAGAAAATGGAGCAGTGTGAATAGTATGAACCAGAAAATGATCAGTGACAACCATCACATGGGAAATTTTGAAAGGGACACAGGCAGTGTGACCTGTGTTCACCATGGTGGTCAACTGGGCCTCGCTAAGGAGGTGGCATTTGAGCCAAGACCCAACTGCAAGAGGAAGCAGGAGGGAGGAAGAGCCTCCAGGCATCGGGAGTGGCAATGCAAAGTAAAAACAAGGTCCCAGTGCCCCCAAAGCAGCAGCTCTGAAGGACTGAGCTACCGAGGGTGCCAACCCTGGGCACCTGGTCCCTCGAGGGTCAGGCCAAGGGGTTGAGCCTCTGGGCACCCGTGTGTTCGCAGGAAGCTGGGCCTGGACTATTATGTTGTTCTGAACCCCAGGTCACCAGGGCCAGCAGGGTCAGCCACTCCTGGAGGCAGAGTCACTCTTGTGGGGTGATCCAAGGGTTGTCAGAAAGTGTGGGCATGCCTCTCTGCCACCTGGCCACACGCCTGACATTCTGCCTTAT